GAAGCCCTCGGGACAGTGGGTATACGCATCACTGGCAGCCGAGTACTCCACCCGATATCCCCTCTGCAGGAGCAGCGTACAGAGCCAACGATCCTCGCCCTGATCGTACTGCACATAGTGACGAGCCTCATCCGACCGTGTGGTGTACTTCTTCATCACGTTGTCGTCCATGAGGGCCTTGCCCCTGAACAGGGAGAAGCAGCCGGGCGAACAGAGGACACAGCCGATCATGTGCTCCGTGGCCTTTTGCAGCCAATGACCAATGGCGTATTCGAACAACTGGTACCACACCATGGGTCCCGAGCCCACGGGATGAATGCGTCCACAGGCGGCGCCCAGGTTCTTGTTCTTCTTCATCAAGTCCACCAGTAGGGTGACCGCATTCGGCTTGAAGTCAATATCGCCGTCCAGGGTGAGCAGGTAGGTGTTCTCGGCAATCGCATCCTTGCGATCCACCGAAATGGGCAGTTCCATAAGGCGGTGACCCAGCAAATAGTACATGTACATCACCTGCGACCAACGCTTCCGGTGACGAATGCGATCCTTATCCTTCAGATGGGTAATGAACTTGGTCTTTCCCGGCAGGGTCCACACCAGACGTCCTCCGTAGGGAGTGGGGTACTTCTTGGGCGGACGCAACCTGATCGTGGTCTGGTGGATCTCGGAGGCAGCCTCGTCCATGGTGGCGATCAGAAGTTTGACAAAGCGATTGCACTGGATGTCGTCGTCGCTGTGATCGGAGATCTCGAAGGCGTCGTCGAAGAAGATGTGGGCTGAAATGACAGTGCGGTTAGCTGTGGTGCAGTTATACACTGAATGACTTAGCTCCACTCACTTTCGAACTCGTAGTAGTCCGGATCGAGAACTCGAAGATACTTTTGCGCCACACGCCGAGCACACTGATCCTCGTCCATCCGCATGATGCTCTTCAAGAACTCAATCATCTCGTCCTTGGTCTCGTGCCACATGGTGGCGCAGGAGTAGATTCGTGTGATGTTATCCGAGGATTTTATCGAAGGCTTATTCGGGGCCGAAGAGCGATCCGTGTGCACCGATATGGTCTCATAGTATTCGTCACCCTTCTCCTTCTCGATCTCCGAGAGATCCTGAAAGGGAAAAGTTTTGTATTGAAAGTTTTGTATTGCAGTAAGTACTGGTAGTTAACCCACCTCTGTTTTCACATCCGCCTGATCATCCCGCCTTCTGTTGAGCGCCATCGACTGGTCGATCAGCAGCGAGGAGTACATGGGCTGGACGAACAGCTTCTCGGTGGTGGCCAGACGCTCGCACTTGGGCGTCCAGATGTGCAGGGCGATCCAGGTCTGACTCAGGAGCCACAGGATCCAGGCCCAGGCCATTTGCTCGGTGACAAAGTTATTGAACCGGAAATTCGAGGGGCTCGTAAAGAACAGGTAGTCCGGAATGGTGTCATGGAAGAAGCAGGGATCGTCGATCCGGATGCCACAGGCGGCAATCAGGAATGTGACAGACAGTGGAACAGTTAGACTGACGGGGAAGGCATAGCTGAATCCCTGGATGAGGATCTTGCAGGCAAACTTGCCGAAAATATAGCACAGATAGGCGCCGAATATCTGCAGGAGCAGCACATACACCACCGTGTTGTAGGCGGCATCCACGTCCACGGTGTCGATGTTGGCCGACTCCAAAGTGTCGGGCAGAACTCCGCCCAGACCCGCTGGCAGCTCGTAGACGACGATCTTGTGGGGTCCGAAGGCATCTCCGTACATCGAGAAGAGGTTGCCGGGCTCCTCGCCCTGCGCCGAGTAGATCAGTAGGGTGACGGTGAAGAAGAGCAGGATCTTCCAGATCGATAGGAATATGTGACAGAAGTACCGAGTGTACTTCATCTCGTCCTTGATGCGCCCCAGCGCTCGAACCAGGCCCAGCGGTGACTGGGGCGACACATAGTTCTCCCACCAGCCGCACGAGATCATTACGCAGGCCACCGGGATGACCCACAGCTCCCGCCGGTTCTCCAGCAGGGGCCAGATCACCAGACCCGTCACCTGAGCCGCCACCGCCGCCAGGTCGATGATCACCTTCACGAACCGCTTGCCCTCCTTGGAGGTGCGTGAGAGGAGGCCAAAGATGCCCGGCACCACGCACAGGCAGTTGGTAAGCATGGCGCCCTGGATAGCATCGATCTGGGGCAGGACCACGAACATCAGCAGGGCCATGCCCACGGCACTCAGACTCTCCATCAGCCAGACGAACAGGAAATGCCCCGTTCGCGGCACCTTGAACGTCTTGAAGAAGCAGATGCGGGCGGATCGGATCAGGGCCCCGATCTCGGGCAGAGCGTAGGCTATCAGTAGTGCCCAGATCCAGGCCACTCGCTCCTCCTCGGGCAGACGCACCACGAAGCTCTTGTCCCGACCCTAAGTTTGGAAAAAACAAGAAGAAAGTATTACTTAGTCATTATGCTATCACTAATCAGGGTTTTAAAAATATTCATTTCATGTTCAAGTCAAGTGGTTTCATCAGAATTTATTTAGCAAAAAGTGATTCTCTCTGATATGAATTTACCTTATTTATTTAGCTATAAACCATTCAAATGGGCTTTTTTTACTTGAGTTATCAAATACAGTTCGATAACAAAATGTAGTTCAAGTATTAATTGATTGATTTCATTTAAATTAACTATTTGAAATGGTATAAATTACATAAAGCAATGCAAAAATGTATCTTTGATATACTCGGAGTTCAAATTTGAAGCAATAATTTATGTTCTTACCAAGTCTTTGTTGCAGTACTCCATCTTCTTATCCTTGCGCACTTGCGAGGTCATGAAGAGCATTGTGCCCTTGGCAATGACGCCACCGGTTAAAACTACGATAAACGTAAAGATATAGGCGAAGATCTTCAAGATCTTGACGGTTAATTCTAAGCACTCCTGGTTCGCCGTCGATCCGGTCTCAATCTTGATCGGCGGATCCCGGAAGACATCCCAACCCTTTGTCTCCTGTATGGTCCGTTGGCTGAAATGTTAATGTGAGTGGAGTTTTAAGTTTTTTAAGGTGGAGCTTATATAATGCTATAATTGTTCTTCCAATTTAATCTACCAATTTTAGTTAACATATTTTTTAGAGTATGGTAAAACGTGGTTGAGGTTCAATTCTTAATTTACAATAATAAGCAAATTGTATAAAAGCGTTTATTGAATTGATTTAAATGTAAAGTTATCAAATAAAAGATGATTAAATTTTATTTTTTAAATGGTAAGATGTGCATAACATATTTAAAAAAAAAATTATCTACTGTGACTGAAAGGGAAAATAGTTTTTTTAATACAAAATTTTTATAGATCGATCCCGATTGATTAATTCGATCACCTCGCGGACCACTGATCTATGATTTTTGCAATGCCCGCTCAACTGGATGATCTTGACTTCCGGCACTTTATGGCCCCGACTACGACTACGACTCCGCCCTGCTTTCAAAGTGATTGTGAAGCAATCGCTGTCGCAGCGGGGCTTAATTACGGTTGTCTGAACGAGACACTTTGGTTCCGGTTGCCTTTTCGCTGTAGTTGGCCACCAACGATCGGAATACATTTGGCCACCAGACCAGAGGGAGACCTACCTGCCGCCATAGATGTCGTGAGTCAACGGCGAGCTCTCGTCGTCGGTGAAGTTGTTGTCATCGCTGTCGCCGTGCTCCCCGGCGGTTCCCGCTCCGGCTCCTTGCCCCGGCGGGGCCATCGGGCGATGCCGCATCGCAGACATCTCCCACGGTCGCTGCTAGCCCCCAATCTTGGGGCGGAGTGGCCAATGTTCGGCTGCAAAGTGGAGGAGGGGAGAGTGGTAAGTAATTGAGCCCAGGCTGCGATTGTTCGATAAGCCGGTTTTAATGGACCTGTAATTTATGGCTATGGTAAACGGCTCCCAAGGACAGGCGTCCTTTGACTCCGCCCTCGGACCGGTTTGGGTTTTTTTCTTTTCAAGCCCCAAGATGAACCTTGAAAGCTGCTGTAAAATGCACATTCAAAACTTTATGTTTTTCAACTCCATAGTATATGAAAATAGCCATTTCAAAAAAATCAGTCTAACCAACATGCAGGTGGAGTAAAAGTAATCATAAATTCAAATCAAGTTACAAAAGTTTTGATTTGTGTTTTCAGATTTAAAAGTTCGACTAATGTCCTTTAAGGTTTTGAGTCAAAATTAAGATTATAACTTGTGTATTTAGAAAAATAATAAAATTATATAAAAGAGTTCATCTTTTTTTTGCCATGTAGATCAAACTAGTGACTCATGGTTCAGGCATCTCTGAGATTTAGTTTACATCTTTCTGCCCATGATTTCGAACGCTTCCATATTTTTCTCACCAGCTTTTTTTCACTTTCACTTTTGTAATTTTCAGCACAGAGTGATCTAAGAAATTGTTTGGGGCTGAGCTAGTTGCATGCATAACTCGAGTCTTGGACTCGCCTCAGTTGTTCCACATGTGGCACGGAACTGAAGCCGATGTTGCCTGGGTCTTCTTCTCTTTTTATGGTAATTAAGTACGATTACTCGTTTGAATTGCAGTTGCAGTTGCCAGCACTGCTCGTATTGTTCTGCCAATGGAGGCCTTGTGCCAGATTCTGGTCCGAATGCAATATTTATGATTATGAGGCAAATTGAAGACGGTATTCAATTGGTATTGCTGCTGAACGATGGGAGGAGTAATGGGTTGTAAGCTAATTTACTTAACAATTTACATATATAAAGGTATTTAAACCTTTGCAACCAATTTGTGATTTTTCATTAAACATAACTTCCGCAACAAGTTTTTAATGAAAACATTAAGTCATTTTTGATTAGAAAGAAAAAAGCGATCAGATTAACTAATCAGCTCAAACTAGCAATCGAATTTCTAAGATCAAGAAGTACCTGAAATACTCATTTATAGATATACTCATTATAGATATAGATCCAGAACTACATGAACTACTAATTTATAGATATACAGATAACAATCCCAAAGTTAAAACCTTTGTCGTTTTAGTATTGTTTATTATTTTTTTTGCTGTAGTATTTGAAAGAGAAGAGAATTCAGTATCAAGAAAGGGAGAGCAAATCATAATCCTCCATTTCGGGAATATCGTAAAATATGTCAGAAGAACTGGGTGAAACTTGGGAACTTGGCGAAAGGATGGCAGTGTCTTGGGAGGATTCTTTGATTTCGGCGGACTCCAACGGAGCCTCGGATGTTTCCTGCAGTCTGTAGAGTTTCTCCCTGAGTCGGTGGGACAGATCTACGGGAGTTTCGATTTGGTTACAGACTATGGGTCCTCTAAGCAATCCCCTGGGAGCGGATCCTGATCCTCCACTTTGCCTCTTGCGGCTCTTTATTGGTAGTATATTATCGCTCTTTGAAGGGGTTTCTAGGGGATAGCGCTTTTGGGATTTGCTTGACTTGCTCGGCTGGAATTCTGCAACCCGCGTGGCTTGAGAGGCGTACAGATTAAACCGGCTGTCCAGGCTGAGCTTCACCACCAGGACGGATCGTTCGGTCTCGTAGTTCCGACGCAGGGCCTCCAAGTGCCGGATGAGCTGCAGGTCCGCCGGATGCACCGACCGGCGGGCGGTGACCTTCCGCAGCCGCTTGGTGATCTCCACCTCCGACATGAAGCACTTGACCAGCCGCTTGATTAGCGCGTTGAATCGCTGATCGCTGAGTGGTCGGCGATCGGCCTCCACCACTCGAAATCGAGCGTTGGCCACTTGGTCCGGTCGGATCTGACCCTTCAGCATCAGCGGAGGCAGCTGGACGCCCCCTTTGCTGCACAGTGCGAAACTGCTCAACTGGGTCACATCGAAGGTTGGTGAATCGGACTGAGTCATGATCTTTCTTGAGGGGAATTTTAAATTTGAAAATACTTTTACTGCATTGCTATGTTATGACTAAACTAAACGGTCAACTTGACAGATTTTACAAACGGTAGAAATTTTAGGAAAGTCAATCAAAAAGCTAGCTTGGAAATTAACGAAAATGTGTCTTCTGTAACTTAATTGCTCAAGGCCCATTTTCTCCTCTAAACAGTAAAACCGTATAGCTTGTAAATTGCAAAATTCTATATGATTTTCTAAAATCTACTTCTGAAAAACCGGTCCCAAGATTGTCAAGAATGTGGTAAGTGTGGTAAGCCATTTCAAAGCAGTTTAATAGTCGAGTTGTAACTGTTAAAAAAAACAATTAAAGAAGCCGTGATTCAGATTTATATCTTATAAGGCATACATATTACAACCCGATTATTAAGCTTGTTGTGGATTTATACAAAGTATTTTTGAAGATTTGTTCAATATCTTTTGAATGCATGCAGAGTGTCAAAAATTTAATAACAGTAGCTTGATACCAAATTGTTAAAAGCCAACCGAATTTCAAAGAGTTATAATACAAGTCAAACGAATCTACTTGAGATCTAGTTGGCTTTGAGCTCTTAATTTTATATTTTGTTCTGTCACGCAGTCCAGCTAATGAGTATTACTTTCAATTTTTTTTTGTATTACTTTTTAAATAACTCATTTAACCTCAATCAGCTAGGGCGGTAAGTGGAACAGCTGGTTGTCCAAAAGATGCTGTGAGTTGCATCTGGCCCCCTTGTGGAGGATTCTGCGCACAAAGCGAGTATCGTGTCGCAGGATGAACCACCCCCAAAGGACGAAAACATCCCACACCCACATATGAATAAGGAGGAACGCATAATTTTTAAGCTTACAAGAGCGTAAGGGTGGCTTTTGCACACACACTTAGAAGAGTGGCAGGATGCTTTCGTGGAGAAAGTGTGGTGAAAGTGTTTCCTGGCAATGCGCCCGTTTCGGGCTTTATAGGGCAGGGACAAACGTGACGTTTCAACCTGACCGTGTGGCCTAAAGGATAAGGCGTCGGACTTCGAATCCGAAGATTGCAGGTTCGAGTCCTGTCACGGTCGCATCTGATAGCTAAAATGCACTTTTTTGTATGCTACCTTTTCTTTTTTAAATATTAACTTTGGCTAGGTCGTTAGAGTTGATTTAGTAACTACTTTGGCATATTTTATCTATTCGATAAGTCAACTCTCCTTGGTTTTGAAACACAATAAAAACCCGTTTTCTGTTTAACTCTTTGGCAACACAAAATGCAAAAATTAATTTAATATGGGAAAAATACGCAATTGAGCAACCATCGGGCACAAAACAACAAAAACGACTTAATTGACCACTGCCAATGAGTAACCAACAGAAATCTTGACTTCCCTCGAATCTTCTAAATGTCAAATGTCCACAAGAACGGATTTTATTTACCAGTTGAACTTGGATTTGTTATGAACTAGCTTTAATAGATATCTTAAAGTTGCTTAGAAAGAAATTTAATAATTTATTCAGTAGCTTTAATTTGATTTAAACTTTAAATTTGAGATTAACGAGATCTATTAAATCTATTTGTTTAGAAACTTGTTTGGAATTTTAGGAGAAATTTATTGGTCCCAAACAAAAAATGTGACCATTTAGTCAAATACTTTTAGGTGGCAGCTTACATATGATTGGCCATTGCAAAAATTCGAATTATTCAGAATTTAAAAGAAAAATTGATTTAGCATTTAATTTAAATGTATTTTCGGAAACCATGGTTTTGATTTGAGATGATTACCAATTAAGTCAAACTTGAATGATTGTTTAATTTTTTAGACTTTTCCGAATTGTTTCTGCTATATAAATTAATTTATATTCAGAATGGGTCAAAAATGGTCAGTTACTTCTACAAAAATTTTAAAAAAAGAATATATTGCGAAAGTGGGTAATAACCCACATTTATAATATTGGAAACAAAATCTAAGATTCATTAGAACAGTAGAGAACGTCATTTTCAAATAGTGGAAAATAAGAATAAATCTGTTTGAGCTAACTTGTATATCCACCGGAAAATGAACTCGGTTAACCCTAGCCAGCCTCAACATTGGAGTACTTTTACCCACACACCAGACGTGCCCGCCATACCAAATATGACCTAAGTGGCAGAAAATTCAAGACAATAAATACAGAACAAATTAAGCATTCAAGTCGGCGCGTTAAATCAACGCCGAGGGCTAGAAAGATCGAGCCCGAAAAGGATTACGGCTCCGCAATTGGAGAAGTCGGAGAAACGAACATATTCTTATGTATTCTCGTACAGATCTCCGATAGCCAACCGGTTGGGCAGGAAGGCAAACTGGAGCGGGCTAACTGGAGGTCTTGGAGCGGCATGGAGCCAAACTCTTTTGTGCTGCCCACCGAAATAGACAATGGGACACAGCTGCAGGCGTTTGGTGATTTAATAATTTTTGTCTGTTGTAATAATCACATTAGCGCCAGGCGAGAGGTGAAGCATTGAGGGCGGGAGAGAAGCGAAGTGAATGCCTATTAAACGAAATATATAGTAAAATAGTAACATAAATGGACAAAGCTATACACAAACCTAAAGTTACAGACAGAAAAATATAGCTAAAAATTGGCTTCTTGATAACTTGGCATTTTTGGCATACCAAACCATGAAGGTACCAACGATTTTTGGAGAGGTTATGGCTTTAGCTGATCAGTATTAACAGCCGATCCTATTTATCCTATTAAAAATAATGGAATTTTTGTATCGATACACAACAAAAGTGCAGGGTGTCCTTAATATTTAAATATCTCAAATAAAAGAGGCAAATAGATCATTTGTATTCAACTTAACATTTTTTTCTGTGTAGCTAAAAGCGTTTTGGTTTGGTTTGGGGCTAAGTCAGAAGCCGCCAAAGAAGGCGAACAATTAAAACCTGCGCTCCACCGACAGACAGACAGAAAGACAGAAAAAAAGTGAAAGTCAGATACTTGTAAAAAAATGTTATAGAAATAAACGAACACAATCTATGCGATACTGGCGTTTCAAAGCAGATACAGATACAAATTCAAGTTGGGGCTGCTTGGTCTGGCGCATAAATTGATTGCTACACTTAAGCCAGCTAGTAAAAACGGGAACACGGCAATCGAACCGGCCGCGCCAACCAGCTGCCGACCGAATGTTGCGATTGCCGATTGTCGATTGCCGGACAACCAGTTTTCGGCGGACTATAGGAAAACCAGCAAGCTGCGGCCAAGAAATATGCGCCAATAAGAGTCGAATCGCAAGCATTATGTGAAAAATTACGAATTGCGAACCAAGCCGGAACGAGCCAAGAGTACAATGGTGACATGGCCAAGATTGGATTGGACTGGGGAAGCGGGGGAGGGACACTTATGGGTGTGGGTTCAGTGTGCGGTGGTCAGCTCGCTGGGATTGGCCATTTGAGCTATTGATTTACGCTTGCCACAGCGGAGAGCCGCAGTTGCTTGAAGGTTGCCTGCAATTCGATTGCAGGAATACCAGAACCAGTATGGTATTCGAGCGGATGATTCATACCTGCAGATGCCAGGCAATCTATCTTGAAGCTGCACCTAACATTATGCTCGGTAGTTCGCTTAGGAAACTTGAAAGAGCTTATTTCATTGATTTAAACACGTCTTCATTTTTAGAGATATTTTGTGCACTATCAGTTATCACATTTATATTGTTTAACAAATTGCAATTAACATCCTACTGATAATACATGTTAAGTTGAAGTTTTTGTTTAGACTCTTTGCTGTATAGTTTTGGAAATTGAAAAACACAAATTCCTGTGCTCTTGTTTCCAAAGGAACAATTAAAATTACACTAATTTTTATTCGCTGTAGATTACTAATAAAAAAATATTTGAACTACATATTTATTTTTATGTTATTATTTTATAAATAAACTTACAGATGTTGTCTTACCAACTCTTCATATCCCTTAGCCACACAAACAAATAATTTCCATTTTTCCTTTTTTCTCTAAAGACATTTTCAACTTCAAGGCAACTCATTTATTTCAAGTTTTTTAACCTTTTAGCATTCTGTTTGACTGTAAACTTTTTACCGTTATATTCCTGCAAATATTAAAACCGTTTTGACTTTTAAGTGAATGAGTCATGTTCATTTTGGGATACAATTTGGCATTGTGCTGTTGTCGACTAATTAAAATGCATTCAATTGCAGAAAATTTGATTTCTTGCAGGTGAGATCTGCTTAGATATATGCCACTGCTATAAAACAAACCATGATTAATCAAAATTGAATCAAGCCATTTTGATTATGTGGAATGAGTCACAGTGAAGCTTAATGTTTGGTTTTTACGTAATGCGTAAGTTGAATCGGAAATGGCACTTAATTTCTGGTGTTTCTTTTACTTTGGTGTTTCCAGAGACCTGAAAATGATTTGTCTTTTTTTTTGGTCTTTAATTTGGGGTTTTGAAAGACTTATCCAGTCACCGATGAGTTGTCATGTTTAATGACATAGTTTTTGTGTATTTTTTTTATTGAATACAGATACATATAAATCAAGCAAGCGATGATATATATATATTCGTTAAACTTGCTCGAATTTCCTAGCTGTTCCATTCGGTATCCAGCATCTTGGCAAAAATTTGAGCACTTTCAAACACGGTTCGGCTTAAAAGAAGTTTCCTTTAAAGCAAAGGACGGTCCGTTGTTTCTTTAAAAACGGAATTCAGCTTTCGACCCAAAAAAAATTGTTCTGTTCTTCTGTTGGGAAAAGATTTGCTTGCCCAAAACTCATACTTGCTTACGTGCCGTATGAGTAATTTTTATGGAAACTATGAGACCATTGCGCAAGGCCATAGACTTCATTTAAAAATGTTTGGATATTTAATTAATTTATTTTGCACCAATATTCACTATTTAAAATGGTGGGCTTACAATTCCTTATAAAAAAAGCCTCCCTAATGTACATCTATTACTTAAAAATTGAAAATTGTTTTCTAAAAAGAGGTGAATATAAATTTGAGATATATATATTTTTGATAAATTCCAAGGGAAAGCAGTTGGAAGCATTTTTTTAGCATTGACTTTGAAAGTTTTTTGCGGGCTTTACTCTTT